TGGAGCCCGTCGAGGAACAGGTGGAAGTAGCGCAGCCTGTTTTGGATGAAGAGAAGGTTGTAGAAAAATCCGTCGAATCTAGCGTCACCGCTGAGGAGATCCCTGAGGAAAGCACCGCGGCCAGGTCGGCTGATGCTGTCGACGTTACGCCCGCCGTTACCGAAACACCTGTCGAGGCCGAGATTCCTGAGGTCGCTGAAGTTGACCAAGCTTCTGCCGAACCTGCTGAGGTTGAAGCCCCAGTCGAGACCCCCGTCGAGAGCGAAAGCAAGGCTACAGTTGTTGATGAGGCTGTTGTTGCAGAGCCTGCAGCAGATCAAGATTCAAACATTTCTACTGAAGTCTCCGCTGTGGCTGAAGAGACTATTCATGAAGAGAAAGTTGTCGAAGAACCAGTGGCGGAGCCGACTGAGGAGGCGGAAGTAGCACAACCCGTTTTGGAAGAGGAAAAGATTGCAGAGGAATCCGCTGAACCTACACCAAGTGTTGCTGCTGAGGAGGTCCCTGAGGAAGGCGCCGCGGTCTCGTCGACTGACGCTGCCGACAGTGCGGAGAGCCTCAAAGAGGAACACGAAGCCGTTGTCGAAGCCACAAACGTCGAAGCTGCTCCCATCGAAACTGCTGCCGTCACCGAAACTCGTGTCGAGGCTGAACTTCCTGCGGTGGTTGAAGAGGTCACTGCTCCTTCACCTGCAGCAGAACACGAGGTCGCTGAACCTGCACCTGATGCCGAAAATCGTGCCGCCTTCGAAGCCCCAACTGAGCCCGTAGCTGAGCCTGTCGCTGAGCCTGTCGCTGAGCCTGTCGCTGAGCCTGTCGCTGAGCCTGTCGCTGAGCCCGTCGCTGAGCTCGTCGCTGAGCCCGTAGCTGAGCCTGTCGCTGAGCCCGTTGCCGACCACGTCGCAGAACCCGTTGCCGACCACGTCGCTGAGCCCGTCGCAGAACCCGTTGCAGAGCCCGTCGCAGAGCACCATGTTGAACCCGAAATCCCCGCAGTGGTTGAAAACACCGAGGTTACTGCCGTCGAAGCGACTGTTTCTGAGCCTGCTCCTGCCGATGCTCCCGCTGCCGCTACTGAAGAGCAAGCTGCCCCGACTGCTGTCGAAGAGGTTGCAGTGCCCAGCGGAGAAGTAGAAACGATTTCTGTCGAGCCCTCTGCTGTTGAAGAACTGCCGTCTGAGGTTCAGGCTGTGTCGGACAGTGCACGGGCAAATGAGGAACCAGAACCTGTTGTGGAGGCTACGACTGTCGATGAAGTTGCCGCCGTCGAGCCTGCAGCAGTCGCTGTGGATGTTGATGCCCATGCTCCCGTCGAAACAACCATCGCCATCGCTGATGAAAGCACAACACCTGCTCCCGCGGAGGACACTCAGGCAGAGCCCATCGTGGAAGAAATTGCGGCGGAGGAAAAGGTTGAAGAGGTCGTAGCAGATGAGCCTAACAGCACCATGGAAGGAGCGGAGTCTGTGCTCGAAGCTGTGAACTCCTCGGACGAAGTATCTCAAGAAATCCCCAACACTTCAGTGGCTACTGACATGCCAACTACCGAAGTCTCTCCCGTTGTCGAGATACCCATAGCTGCCGAGGAGAATGTCGTTGTCCCCTCTGAAGAGGTCGTCTCCAAAGCTCTTTTCGACGTGGAAAAAGACGCAGCAACGGTAGATGCAAGCCCTATCGTAGAATCGACCGAAGAGAGCCCTGCTCTGGTGTCTGCGGATACATCATTTGCCAATGAGACCACGGTAGAGGACGCTGTGACGATCGAAGAATCCACCGAGGAGGACGCCATTGTCTCGTCCGCCGTTTCGGAGGAACTTGTTACTCCAGCCGTCCAGGAACCCGAACTCTCTGTCGACGATGCGCAACCAGAGCTCACAGTCGAAGAACCAGCTGTGGTCGCTCAGGATAATGAGGTTACTATTTCTGAGGATAAAGACTCGGAACTGACTGGAGAAGTTGAGCATGTTCCTTCTATCGATGTCGCCCCACCTACCCCCGGAATCGACATTGAATCTTCGCAGTCAGAGGCCGAAGTTGCCGCCGATACACCTGTCCCTAGTCAAGTCGAGGCCACTTATGCTGCAGAGGAGGTCAGACCGGCCGCAATCACAGAGGCCTCCGAGAAGGAAACGACTGTTGTTGAACCAGAAGTCGTCACTGCGGAAGCTCCAGCGCTCGCTCTCGATGAGGCCGCTATCGAACCCCCTGCCGACGAAGTCGCAGAAGCGGTCCAACCCCAGAATGAAATCATTGAAGATAGCAAATCTGAGGTTGTCTTGGTTGAATCCTCGGACGCTGCAGTCGCTGCCCCAGAAACAACCGCTGAGCCGGAAACCCAGGAGCAAAAAGTCGCTGTGGATGAGCCTTCAACAATATCGTCCATTCCGGAAGCGGACCTAGGTATTTCTTTTTTTTTTGCATCCATTAAGTTTTTGAAAGCTGATTCGTTTTTAGTTCCAGCTTCTGATGCAGAGGTCGAACTCGGTTCTGTAGCTGATGCGCCAAAGGTTTGGACTCTTTCTTATCACTTTGAACCTTCCCTCACACACCTATTACGATAGGAAACTATTGTCGAGGATGGCTCGCTTGCTACTGCGGCTGAAATCGAGAGGCCCAAATCGCCTTGGATGCCATCCTTCCAGGTCACTACCGTCGGTCGCGGAGTTTCACCCGAGGAGCCCGCCACAGAATCCAATACAGTAGATGTATCCGAACCCGCAGCAGAAATTGCAGAACCGGCCGCAGCCGCCGAAGAAACTATTGACAATGTTAACTCGTCTGTCGCCCCGCCCCCTCAGGTAAGTCTCTTATCTTCGTTATTAGGAATGACTCGAATGCTTTTCTAGTTATACATTGACCAATCCTCGCTTGACGAACCGACTGAAGCTCAAGAGACAGCAACAGAGGAGGTACCCCGCCCTTGGACTCCTTCGTATTCTGTGCACTCCCAAGGTAGCCCCCGTCCAGATAACGTCGAACTCGAGACAGAGGCACAGGAACCGCCTGCACGTCCCTGGACACCTTCATATTCTGTGCATTCTCAGGGTAGTCCCCTACCAACTCAAGCCAAACTCGCTGAAGAAGTCACGGCTCAGGCTGGTGAAGCTGCTGTTGTTGAGCAAGAAGATAGCGAAACCCATGCCGAACCCGAGATCCCTTCGGTGGTTGAAGACGCTGAGGTTACTCCCCAAGCTGCAGCGGAAGATGTCTCTGGATCTGCTCCTGATGCCGAGACTCACCCTTCCATCGATGCTCCCACCGAAGCCGCCACTATCGTGGTTGATGCAGAGGCGCTTGCAGATAATGAAGAAGCTGCTGTTCCTGTTGCTGCTGATGAGGAACAACAGGTGACAGAGGTCGAGCAGCCAGAGGAACCCGCAGAGCCTGAAACCCACAACGTAAAAATTGAGGAGCCCAACCAGCCCGTCCTCGAGATTGCTGCTGAGACCACTGAAAAAGATGTGAAGCCTCCTTCTGCTAGCGTTGACCACGATGCTCAGAACCACAGCGTGGGCCAAGTACCTCAGTTGGTTTTGGACACCAGCGAAGATGTGTCTCTTGTGAGTTTTTGCTTGATTTCTTAATCATGTAGCTTACGTTCTGCAGCCTGCGTCTCAACTGGGTTCCGAGGGACTTGTGCCTCGTGCTGAGGACAGGCCAGCATCGCCTTCCTGGGTTCCTTCGTATTCTGTCAGTGTTCAGGGTAGCCCTGCCTGCGAACGTTCAAACCCTATGGACGAAGTTATTGCAACTGCAGAAGTCCAGCCCACCGAAGTGGAAGAAGTCGAAACCGTTGAACATGTCTCCGTTGAAGCACCAGTTGTTTCAGTGACTAAAATTGAATCTCAAGAGGTATTTTCTATTTTACTATTGGTGACCATATCACTCACCTATAGTTTTAGGTTGCTCTCGCCGCCGGTGTTGCTGAGGCAGAGCCCCTTGTAGAAGCAAAGGAGAACGTATCTCATGAAGCCCTGAGCACACTCGATGTTAATGCCTCATCGGCACCTCTGGAATCAGACAACGGAGAACGGCCCAAGAGCCCATGGACACCCAGCTACTCTGTCACTACCCAAGGCGCTAATACTACTTTGAACGAAACATCGCCATCAGAAGCCGAGACAACTATACCATTCGCTGAAGCTGCAGAGGCCAGCCAAACGGAAGAGATACCCTCTCAAGACTCACCTCAAGTGGACGACAAGCTTGAAGAACCTGTACAATCTGTGATAGCCGAAAGCACGAACGTATCCAGCAAAGTATTCCCAAGCGTTCCGAGTGTCGTTGAGACACCAAAGAAAGCCAAGTAAGGCAAATTTATCTCAAGTATGCATGGATGCTAAAAGCTTTCAATTAATCCTCTAGTCTTCGTCTTGCTTCTTTGGATGAAAATGGAGCTACTGAGATTGATGGCTCTACTACCTCAGCGACCACCATCCCTCTTACAAGTCGTTCTAGGCTGGAGTCAACGGCCTCTTCGCGATTCTTCCCAGGAGCTTGGTTCTCGCCCTCAAAGGCTGTAGATGAAAGTCGCGCTTCATTAGAAGTAGCTCGAGGGGAATTCACTGCGGCAAAAATTGCCGTCTTGAATCCCTCGATCGATGAAGGGCCAACAGTGGACCAAATCGCAATCACGGAACCTGAACCCGAAGTGGAGGCGAATGAAGAGCCACAGTCAGCGTCTAGCGAGCAGAGAAGGAGATGGTGTGTTATCATGTAAACACCTAACTATTTTCTTTATTTAGTTTCTTGGTTTCCGCGTTACGACCTTTCATGATCTTTTATGTTCTATTTACCCACCCCATCTAAACTCTCGCTTTAGTATATCCCTCTGAATTAACATTTCGCGTATAATATCGTATTGGTTCGCAATATATGGATTCCTTTAACACATGGTCATCGTAATTTACTGGACTTATGCATGAATGAAGTGCGGTCCTGTGGGAAGTGCGCATGCCTTGCGGGCGAGATTCGACGAGAGTATTGCGTACAAAAAGGAATCCGACCTGCCTGGATCGAACAGGCGGCATCAAGATCGTCAGCCGTTACAGTCTTGCGCTCTACCAACTGAGCTAAGGTCGGTTGAACTCATTATGAACACAAACTTTCTTATCGAGAAGGTAGGCCCGTGCGTCGCAAGCCAAAAGAACATATTATCTTGGCGACCTCTACATACAGCTATTCGTTCAGTTCATTGATTCTAGTGGTTCAAACTAGATAGGTAGATATATTCGTATTGGCAGATAAACTTGATGGAAATTTCAAATATTCCAAGTTATTGTCCTCGTTGAATTCCTAGCATGCGTGACCGCAACTGCATCAGGGAGATAGCATTTCCGACGTCCGTAGTAGAGACTCTACTTATATTGGTTGCCAAGTCTGTACAAAGAACGATTTCAGCATCAGGCCTCCAGGTCTTGATGTCGATCTCCACACTTTCCGCCTTGTGCTCTGCATTCACCTGAAGAGTTTTCCAAATATTCATTTGTTGTCAGCGGTGCCTGGGAGATAGTGTCGTATCCTTTTGATCTGGCATCGGCGAGTAATTGTATAACGGGAGCCTCGTGTTCTCAGGGCCATGCCGCATATGTGATGCATTGGATATGTCATCCAGAGTTAGAGAGGTGGAAATGGATCCAGATGCATTTCAGGCAGTCGTAAGTAGAGCACAGATCAAATCAAACAACGCGTCAACAAATGACTGTCTAATATTGTTTAATACACACCTGGAATATTCCTGCCTTTGCGGGCCGTCGCTTCATCCATGCATGCAATTACCTGTAGGCTGAATATCTGGTTCCAAAGTATGGCCTCAGATACACGGCGGGTCGAGATTAATCTGCCACCTGACTTGATGGTTTTCGCTGTCTACGCATGCACACTCCAATGGATACGTATAGATGTATCACCCTCGACCACGCATGTCTCCAAGTGAAAGGACAAAAGTCCACGCCTTTTCAAAAAATCGAAAAAGCAATACGTCCTACGTGCACGCTATGGGCTGACCACGAAAAAGAGCTGCATTTTTCACATGACCGAATGTCGATCGAGCGGCAAGCACAACCAATTAACGAGCAGCTATAAAGCCAGCTCGCCATCCACGAATCCCCCCAGAGCTTCTTCTCTTCTCACCATCACCGCATCCTCCATTTTTTCATCGTCATGACCGCCACAGTGGCGCGTCGCCATCGCCCTTGTAGGTCCTCGCTCTATCGCACGTCGTTGATGATGCTTATCAACAGTCCCATTCGCCCTCAACGCGTCGCCCGCTGCCAGCTTCTCTACCGCAGTTACAACCATGCCAGCTCCGTGAGTCATCGCCACCTTTTCGCTCACTGACCCCTCTCTTTGCAGGTCGGCCACTTCCTTCGAGGACGCGCAAGGCGGGCAAGACCGTAGATAGTGACTCCGTAGTAGTAGCTTTTTTCTTCTTCTTTAGCAAGTGCTCATCGAGAGGTCCACTATTCCATGCGGCGGCTTCTCGCCCACCACGCCACGGTTGGGA